TATATATATATATAGAAATATACATGTGTGTGTGTATATGTGCGCATATATCTATATAGAGAGGGATAGGTGTGCGCCTATGTATAGATGAATGTATGTATATACATACATCATATGTAGCAACTAAACAATTATGTCAGGACGCCTTCGGGATCAGCACGCCGAAGAGCTCTGGAAGGTCCTGGCTGGCAGTTCCCTCTGCCGCCGGGGCCACCTTGGGCGCGGCTGGGGACTTCGGCTGCTCATGCGGTGCTTGTCGGGTTTACGGTTTTTAGGGTTCGGAGAGGGGTTTAGGGCGTTTAGGGTTCGGAGAAGGGTTTAGGGTTTTTAGGGCTTGGGGGGGTATTGAGTGTAGCTTCGTATCTAAAGCCCTGGAACCCTAACCAAACCGAACTTCAAGCCCTGATCCCAAAGCCTTTACAAAGACAATTTCGGCTCGGTTTTTCACAGAACTTGCGACATCGGCACATATGCACCCCCGGCCGGCATTGCTGCTGCATGCGCTTGAAGTATCTTCAAGGCCAGGCCAAATCCATGGTCGATTATCCAGCGCTCCCGCAAGAGCTCAATACCGCTCAAGTAAGGAATATACCGTAAATGCTAGGGGGCTGGTAGTATAATTTAAGGTATGCACCGTAACCAAGGGGTATTGGGCTCTCACGTTTTAAGTTTAGGTCAAGGCTTCAGGTGCAGAGCTCCGGCACCACCACAAGCACTGCCCCTGCCTCCGCCTTCTGCATCTACGACTAGCTGATTCCGGAAAGCAATCATCAACGGGATACGATACTCTCTCGTACTCTCTCGGATGGGTCTAGAAGTCTGGGCGAGGTGCTGCTCACCAGGATACTACCACGATAGACAGAACCAGCCGGTAACTTCCGATGATGATTAAAGATGCGCATTATGAATGCCGTTACATATCACAGGCAGCGCAAGCATTGCAGAAGACTTCTCTTCCGCAAGGTCTCTACCAGAAGCCCTCGGCTTGAGCCAGAAAGCTTTTCTGCCTTCCAGAATCCACTAATTAAGGAATATACCTTAAATTACAGTAGGAACCCTAGTATGATTTAAAGCATATTCCTGAATTTTAGCAAGTTTGGAAGGTCTGGGTTAGATCGGTGCTGGGTTCAGGTCTCCGAGTGAATTGGGTTTAGGTCTAGGCCTCAGGACCATTGTATTCCCGAGCTACGAGTAGAGCTCGTATTCTATACCCTGGAAATATAATTAGTACATATATATATATATATGTATATATTAATAATCTATTTATTTATTTATGTATTTATTTATTTATTTATTCGCTTGTCTATTTTCCCAAGTACTGAATATATATATATATATATATATATATATATACTTATATATATATGTATATATATATATATGTATATGTGTATCTCTCTCTCTCTCTCTCTCTTGTGGGTGCTGATTTGTAGAGGCAGCTTTGGGGGGATTTAGGAATCTAGTGCTGGAGCGTTTATACTTGCAGGGCTTGGGATCCAAAATCCAACATCCAACAAGCATAAACCGCCGAAGCAACATGCCGTATGCTCTGCAGAATGTAGTCTTGGATGTTTCAAAACCCTGTAACTCCAGACCCCGTTTCTCGATGTGTCTCGGCTGTGCCCCATACCCCAAAAGTTCCGAATCCAAAATATACAACCCGAGACAAAGAACTCCAGAAAGCGTATCACGCTGATGTTGATGCGGATGGTGGCTATGATGGTGATGATGGTGGTGATGATGACGATGAGGATGATGACGAGGATGATGATGATGATGATGATGATGATGATGAGGATGATGATGGGGATGATGATGATGATGGTCACGAAGACGATGATGCTGGTGATGGTGGTGGAAGTGGAAGTGGAAGTGGTGGCGAAAGAGGTGATGTTGTGAATGAGTGCTGTGGTTCTTTTGCTGGTGATGGTGCTGGTGCTGGTGCCGGTGCAGGTGCTGGTGCTGGCACTGGCGCTGGTGCGGGTGAGCTTCCAGTGTTGGTGCAGGTGCCTGTCCGTCTTGACCAGATGCAGAACTGAATGAGCTGCGTGCCGGAACACACACCCACAATATTGGGCTTTAGGGTTTAGGGTTTAGGGTAGATATTTATCTCTGAACTCAAGGCCCCTTCGGCTTCTTGTCTTCGAACCCTCAAGCTGAAGCTTGACCTTCTGGAAACCTGTGAAAGATGATCTTAATCGTGACAGAAGGCTCCAATAAGACAAGTCAAACCCCGCAAGTACAGTACTTAATAGTAGTATGAGTATGAACGATCTAGTAAAAATATCGGCTGCTAAGTGCTGACAAACACTACCTGAACTCCAAATGAAGGACACGTAACCCTGCATGCATCAAAATTTAGGGCATGGGGTTCGGGTTTAGGGTCCATAAACCCTGAACCTTAAACCCTAAACCCCGAAGCCTGAACCTTAAACCCATGACCCCAAGACTTCAAACCCCATGTGCGGGCTTCCCATCGCATCCTGCGGCCCTGCCTGCACGTTCTCGGCGCAGACGAGGAGTCGCACAGCACTGGTGATGCACATCGAGTCGCCTGGCGGGATTGCGCCCTAAACCCTACACCCTAAAGAAAAAACATCGAGTTTGGACTCTTTGGCTTGAGCTTGGGGTGTAGGGTTTAGGGTTTAGGGTTCGGGCCCACCTAATCCCTGTAACACCTACCTTCTTATGCTTGCTATGAGTTTCTTCGATAAGTCCTTGCAAACGCATGTTAGTTTGGGTTAAGCTAGGGCCAGGGTTCAGTATTTAGTTGCCAGGCGTGTTGAACATTGTGCCCAAAAAATCCTCGAACATAGCCCCAAATACTTGGTTATAAAACCTGAGAATCCTGGAAGCGACTTTTTTTGAGGTTTAGGGTTTAGGGTTTAGGGTGCACCAGGACCATACAACCTCAAACCAAGCAGCTTTAGATTCAAACCCAGAGCCTATGCATGTTGCAAGCAAAGCTCGATCCCATCTCAATGCCCGACAGCCCTAAACGGTGAAGACCAAGGGCTTGCCCCGAACAGAACGGTTTAGGATTTAGCGTTTAGCACCTTCATGAATTCTACCAGCCGCTGAAAAGACACCAATTCATTGTGGAAAGTGCTTCCCAATGCACAGAGAAGGAGTTCTAAGTCAACCAGCACTTCAGTCCCGCGGGCTTTTCGGGTTTAGGGTTTAGGGTTTAGGGTTTAGGGGTTTAGGGTTTAGGGTTTAGGGTTTAGGGTTTAGGGTTTAGGGGTGTAGGGTTGTGTTTAGGGTTCCAAAAAACCTGGAACCCGGTTTGTGGCCTGTTTTCCGGCTCGACTCTAATGCCTCGGAGGCGCAGCGACGCGCCTCCTCCAGCAGTGCTGCTGGGGTCAGGGCTTTGGGTTTTGGGTGTAGCATTTGTCAGGGTTTAGGGTTTAGGGTTTAGGGGTTTGAGTTTTGGGTTGCCTGTATAGTCCAGGAAGCTGGAAACGACATGATAGGCCAAGCTTCTCAATAGTCTGTCTTGCTAAGTGGGCACGTAGTGCAACAGTTGAGTAACCGGAGACTCAGGATCCCGAAGGCTTACCCATGTGCAAAAGGAAGAAGCAGCTCATCTGAGACTTGTTCTGAACATGTGTAGGAAGGTAAGAGTTCCGAGGAGCTGACTTTCAACGACCCCGAATGAGCCCAGGCTGACTTTCAACACTAGGCAGCCTTAGGCACTATGACACAACACTGCTGCACAGACCCACAGCCTCCTCAATCTTAAGCGACAGAGGGTACTCTTCCCGGGGTAAACGAAAAACTGAATCACCGGACAAAACCGCCACTTGAACTCCGAAATCTCAGCCTTCCACCATGATCAGTGCTGGGATTTTGGGGTCAAGCCCTCAAACCCTAAGCTTGGCATTTTCAGGCAACCCCCCCTCGACCTCCAGCTGCTGGCATTCCAGGCTCTTTTCTGCAGCCACCTTGTTTGAGGGTTCCTTCATCGGGCTTGCACAGGGAATTTGACCGTGGG